ATAGTGATCTGCGGAAGAGAATTTATTTGATACTGATTCGATATACGTGAGTAATAAGGTTTAGTTTACAGCTCACTAACTGTCGTGTATAAAAACTGGATTTGGGAAAATTTGTTTGAAATAGCTAATTTAAAGTTTTGCAATCGATTAATGGGGTTCGGCATAATATTTGAATGATTTATAGTTATAGCCAGTCCAGTTAATGATGAACGTAAAGCAGTATTAGAATGAATGGCTAGACACAGTAGAATTAAGCGTACCACACCGTTCTTGTAAGAGGATCGCTTTACGGTGCTCGTACGACAATGTACAAAGGTTGCACAATTAATCTTGATCTCATACTACTGTACTATACTAATACAGCATTACGCACCCAACATGACTACGCGAATCGTCACACTTGATTTGTCTTCAGACCTTTCATCTGATTACGAAAAACTTTATGAAAGTAACAAATATACAGATGTTTCAATCAATGTTGGCAAAGAGCCAAACAACAAAATTTTTCTTGCTCATGCAGTGGTTTTGTGTACAAGAAGCACTGCATGGTGTCAATTATCAACCGTTAATTGAACTTGTTAATCAGTTTCCTACCGAATGGAAGTGACAGAATTTGTTAATTTGGAAGATTTCGTTTCTGTACATGGTATACCGACAATAAGTCGATTATTGCAACAATAGGACAGGAAGAATTATCAGAATTGGTGGACTTTCTAACAACCAAAACCATTTCTCATAAATTAACTCGAGCACTCAATCTATACTTACAAGAGTGTGACGCAAACTTGACTTTCATATTACTTTCTTACTTAACTTAAAAAAGTTAAAAAGAATAATTAAACTGTTGAATTGTAAGTTGAAAATTAGTGCAAATCTATATATAAATTCGGAATTTTAGTCGAATAAATTGTCTCCGCCCTAGACCCTCGTCTTATCGAGTTTGCCTTGTACAGTTAACTTAATTATTTACAATCCTTAATACTACAACAACTGTATATTTCTTATAATGGAGCTAATTATGGTAAAATAATATATATACGACAACAAGATTGATACACTCTATTGTTATTAACTATGCCTTCTCTTAACGTTGATCTCCTCAATGCGGCACTTTCTGCCATAACAGAAACCCATCAATTTGTATCAGAAAAAGAATTTCGAAAACAGACTTCCCATGAGCAAGTCAACTTGAACTCGATTAATCAATTTAACCTTGGAGGTGATGACGCCAATTCCATCATCAAACGAAGCATTCTGCCAGCGCCCGTAAGCTCTACTGTCGACGAAACAAGCACGTATCAACAAGTCGACTTGGACTCATTTCATCAACTTAGCCTTGTCGGTGGCGATGTCGGCTCCATCATCAAAAATGTCACTAACAGCCCAGAAATCAAAGAACTCATACAACTCTTTGTTAGTACTCTTACTGGGAAAGTCTTAACCGTGCAATGCCAAAAAAGTGATACTGTTGATAAAGTAAAAGAATTAATTCAAAACAAAGAAGGCCTTCCGCCAGACAAACAAAGATTGATTTTTGTAGGCAAACAGATGGCGGATGACTGTACGCTCGCAGATTATGACGTTCAAA